ATTATTTTGGACTTTGTATTTAAAAGCACTGACAAAGCTTTCAAACAGATGTTTCTTCCAAGAAGCCCCTCTGATTGATGGTGGGGCTGTCGAGAACTCTCCCTTCTTCACTGGGTTGATTGCCACTGCACTTCCAGTGATTGCCTCATATTTGGACAAAATTCTGAAATCAACCTTTAACTATCACTTCCAGGGGTGTGAGCATCTGTGAGAAACAAAATGAACAAACATCGCAGAAGACTTTGCTTAATACATCAGGGCACAAGAACTTCAAGCTGCAACTTGTTGAGGCCCTCATAAGCTTCATATACACCTGGCACCTGCTTCATTGCCTCCAAATCCTCCGCAGAGAGAGCTGTCTCTGGCTCTGGCATGACAGGTCGAAGGCGCCCTGACTGCCCCACCTCCTCTTCATATAGTGTGACCATCTTGGACAACCATTTGGAGGAAAGGAAGCCAGCCAACCTCAAAAGGGGAAGAGACCCAATTGGAACAGAACAGCTTAAACTTCACAAAAATCATGGCATTGTCATTACCAAAATGTGCAACTAACAGTTTCCATTCTTCAGAGTAAGAAAATCACATGTAATGCACAGCAAGATATTTGGGATCTTTTTGGGGTAACCAACCACGCCTTTTGATTGAAAAGCTTGCTTGAGTGCCATTCTTGCCTGGGATGTCAACCATCCAGCATCGAAGCTTGCACTTCAAGCTTCCTGACATTCGAAGGCGACAAATGGCCATGGACAAGTCCCCATTGTACGGGTGCAAGTCAACTATCTCCACAATGTCTTGGGCAGTCACCACCCCGCTCAGGAGATCTTTGATCATATTCTCAGAGCATTCCACTCCACGCTGTGCTGCACGTGTTGCCGCAACCACCCTCAATCGCTCCTTGTACTCACTGGCCTCAGAACCTGGGATTTGCACAAGGAACAGGGAAACACATTCAGTGGAAGGAAGGACCATTCACTTGCAGTAGAAAAAGAAAGCCACCAAGCAGAAGCAGGGGACTGGACTGTACATTGTACAGCTCAGATGCAGGTGGAGATGTGGCTCCTAGGGAGTGGCAGGCAAACATTTCAATCCTTGACAGTTAGTGCTGCATAAGTGTACCAACTACTAAGCCAACCCAATGCTGCATGTGACAGCCGCGCCTGTGATCTTGGCAGTGAGCACAGCGGATGATGCACACCACTTGTTCTCAGCAAAGGCAACCTTCAAGTTGTCATGCATCATGAAGAGCTTGTAGGTGACATGTGTGTCTCGCTGCAAGTAGTTTGCATCTATTAGCTCTGCACTGGGGCTCAACTCCTGAATGATCTTGATGTTCGCCCCAAAGCCACATTGCGAGAGCTTCCGCGTGATGACAACCTCATCCTCAAGAACGTCAGTCGTGGAATCCTCCTTTGGCCGCGATGCCAAAACCACCAGAACTGCAAAGTTGCTTGCGCCATGAACCCTCGCCAGCGTTGCCAGCAGTGGCCCATACTTCTCCACCACAAGGGCATTCCGAGCCATCGGGACATTCATGTCAAGCCGTGCCAGCGTAAGTCCAATCGCTTTGTCACTCTGATAGGCACTTCCCACTGATGGTGGAGGAAGGGTCGGAACAGGCTTCATGATCCCTTGCTGGAGGTCACCAACCAAAGCTGACCAGTCAGTCTGCAACTGGGGAAAGCACCATTCCATGTGCTGCTGCACAAGACGCTGCGCTACACTGACTTGCTGGATCCTCTTTTGATGTGCCAGCCAGCCAAGTTTGTCTTGCAGCATGCGATGTCCTTGCATGGCTCGCTTGAGCAATAACAAGTCCTTGTTGAAGTGCGCTTCAAAGCTTTCCAAGCGAGCTTTCCAGAGAGATTCCTCTGCCCTTTCCACAGCTTTCTCCTGTGACATGTCGACATCTTCACATACTGCACCTCGCAAGTCCGTCACCATACCAACATGGAAGTGGGTTGGGAAGCTCTCAATGGACTTGATCACCTTCAAGGGCACCAAAGAAGAAAAGAAAGACTAGTTTAAGACTAACATGATTCTGTTAAATCAAAAGTGAAGTGTCTTTTCTGAACATCAACAGAACACTATCCCAGCCTGTTCATCCAAAACATCACCTTCTTCAATGACTTGGGTCACTGACTTGAGATCATCAGCCAGCAAGTCTTGCTCACAGCAGCCCTTCATGCATCGGCTCCACAGACAAATGACTTGCCGACTGCGCATCAGCTTGTCCAAGCCGGGGCGTTGCCTGGTCCACTGATCCACCCCCTCAAAACAAAATAGCTCAATCAAACTACTACTAAGCATGGTCCAACAAAACCAGTGTTCACTTAACCACAAAGTCTAAGCACAACTTGCAGCAAGGAGCATTGACCTTGCTGCCTCCGCTGGCAAGGATTGCACACTGACCTCAAACTGTGCAACCAACTTCCTGACCAGGAGGTTGTGCTCCTCTACAGACAAATGGCTCCTGAAGTCTGTCAAGTTGACCTTCACCCCCTCCGGCACCATCCTCAATGCCATGTCTGAAGCCTGGATGGGAGGAGCAGTGGTATAGGAAAAAA